TTTCTCACACAGTAGAATTCATATTTGAGGAAGCAATAAATAGCAGAATGTTGTATTCTGCTATTCTGAGAGCACCGTGTATATCATCTATCCAATCTAATGAAAATCCGATGTAGATCATTTTTTTTTATTTTTAACATATTTTTGTATGTATTATTTTTGCTTGTTACATGTATTAAGTTTTTTTTTATAAATCGTTTCCAGGTTACTTCATGGATACGATAATATAAAAAACATAACGGCAAGTAAAACCAACAAAATATTCATAAATAAACAAAAATAGAAATAAAAAAATATAGACATTAAAAAAAAAATAGAGCATATACCTTCATCAGATTTTAATCAGATTGTTCTCGTATTATTTTCTGTGATACTAGTCAATGTATTTTTGTATTCTAAAAACCCAACCATTTCTAAAAAATATTATGTTCAAATTATGTTTTTTTTTTATCTTATTTCTTATTCTGTTGTAGTTTATTTATTGTACTACATTTATGTCTTGGTTGTCATAATACACCGGTTAAGTGTACTTAAATACTACTTTTGATTTTGGTGTGCAGTTTTTGTTTATATTTTGCAAACAAAATAGTGTATAAATATACATTTTGCTTTTATAATAAAAAAGTGTTTTGCTTTTGTTCATTTCAAATGCCAGAAATTAAATAACAGTGAATATACATAGTAATATGATTACTTGATGTAACTGGTGATTGACAATACAGGATACAGTAACACTACTGAATGAGTAATATGATTACTTTATGTAACTGGTAATTGACAATACAGGATACAGTAACACTACTGAATGAGTAATATGATTACTTTATGTAACTGGTAACTGACAATACATGATACAGTAACACTACTGAATGAGTAGTATGATTACTTTATGTAACTGGTAATTGACAATACAAGATTATAGGATACAGTAACACTACTGAACGAGTAACATAATTACATTATGTAACTGGTTATTGACAATACAGGATACAGTAACTACTGAATGAGTAATATGATTACTTTATGTAACTGGTAATTGACAATACAAGATTACAGGATACAGTAACATTACTGAATGAGAAATATGATTACTTTATGTTACTGGTGATTGACAATACAGGATACAGTAACACTACTGAATGAGTAATATGATTACTTTATGTAACTGGTAATTGACAATACAGGATACAGTAACACTACTGAATGAGTAATATGATTACTTTATGTAACTGGTAACTGACAATACATGATACAGTAACACTACTGAATGAGTAGTATGATTACTTTATGTAACTGGTAACTGACAATACATGATACAGTAACACTACTGAACGAGTAGTATGATTACTTTATGTAACTGGTAATTGACAATACAAGATTACAGGATACAGTAACACTACTGAACGAGTAACACAATTACAGTATGTAACTGGTTATTGACAATACAGGATACAGTAACTACTGAATGAGTAATATGATTACTTTATGTAACTGGTAATTGACAATACAAGATTACAGGATACAGTAACATTACTGAATGAGAAATATGATTACTTTATGTTACTGGTGATTGACAATACAGGATACAGTAACTACTGAATGAGTAATATGATTACTTTATGTAACTGGTAATTGACAATACAGGATACAGTAACACTACTGAATGAGTAATATGATTACTTTATGTAACTGGTAATTGACAATACAGGATACAGTAACACTACTGAATGAGTAATATGATTACTTTATGTAACTGGTAACTGACAATACATGATACAGTAACACTACTGAATGAGTAGTATGATTACTTTATGTAACTGGTAATTGACAATACAAGATTACAGGATACAGTAACACTACTAAACGAGTAATATGATTACATTATGTTACTGGTAATTGCCAATACAGGATACAGTAACCCTACTGAATGAGTAATATGATCACATCATGTTACTTGTAATTGACAATACAGGATACAGTAACATTACTGAATAAAAAATATGATTACTTTATGTAACTGGTTATTGACAATACAGGATAGAGTAACACTACTGAATGAGTAATATGATTATATTATGTTACTGGCAATTAACAATACTAGATACAGTAACACTACTAAATGAGTAATATGATTACTTGATGTGAATGGTAGTTGACAAAACGGGATACAGTAACCCTACTGAATGAGTAATATGATTACTTTATGTAACTGGCCATTGACAATATAGGATACAGTAACACTACTAAATGAGTAATATGATTACTTGGTGTGACTTGTAATTGATAAAAACAAGATACAGTAACATTACTGAATGAGTAACATGATTACTTGATGTGAATGGTAGTTGACAAAACAGGATACAGTAACACTACTGAATGAGTAATATGATTACTTTATGTAACTGGCAATTGACAATACCGGATACAGTAACACTACTGAATGAGTAATATGATTACTTGGTGTGACTTGTAATTGATAAAAACAAGATACAGTAACACTACTAAATGAGTAATATGATTATTTTATGTAACTGGTTATTGACAATACAGGATACAGTAACTACTGAATGAGTAATATGATTACTTTATGTAACTGGTAATTGACAATACAAGATTACAGGATACAGTAACATTACTGAATGAGAAATATGATTACTTTATGTTACTGGTGATTGACAAAACAGGATACAGTAACCCTACTGAATGAGTAATATGATTACTTTATGTAACTGGCCATTGACAATATAGGATACAGTAACACTACTGAATGAGTAATATGATTACTTGGTGTGACTGGTAATTGATAAAACCAGATACATTAACACTACTAAATGAGTAATATGATTACTTGGTGTGACTTTCGGTTTCACACCTCGTTTACGCAATTTATATTTATTTTTCAAGAATTTTTCATCGGAATCGCAACAGACTGCAAGCAATTCTAGGCCAAACCCTGATGGCATGTCTGTTTTTAGCTCCGCTGTCGACTTTGTCGAGCGGAGCTTATCATATGAGTGATTGTCCGTCGTCGTCATCCGTCGTCCGTGTCAATGTTTTACTTTTTTGACTTCTTCTGGAAAACTACAAGCCTGAATGCTTTCATACTTGGTGTATATGTACCTTGGGTAGACCTCTCTCAGATATGTTCATTTCATGATGATATCTTCAATTCTCTAATTTTGGTGAATATTTTTGTCATTTTTGGTAAAAAGTGATATTTTCAACTTCTTGTTAAAAACCGCAAGTCCAATTGCGTTGATATTACATATATAGGTACTACATGTGGACCTCTCTCAGATTTGTTCATTTTGTAATGATATCTTTAATTCTCTAATTTTGGTGAATATTTTTGTCATTTTTGGCAAAAAGTGATATTTTCGACTTCTTGTTGAAACCGCAAGTCCAATTGCTTTGATATTACATACATAGGTACTACATGTGGACCTCT